TGCACCGTAACATGTCTAAACACAATTGTTGTATCATTCAGCAATTGATCAATGATTCATGATTTGTTAACGTCATGATCATGGATAATTGCTGCACAGATATTTACTGCACCCTTGGCATTCTTTTGAAATGATGCCCCTTTGCAAATTGAAAATAAAATCAAGTGTGAAGTTTTTGAATCGTAGACCTGACTGCATTCTCACCTCAGTGTGTCTGGGTTCAATCCCTACCGAGGTCATTGAGATATTCTGATGCAAAAAGAAATCTGGTCAGATTTTCCTTCGGAAGGGAAGTAAAGTCCAGTCCCGGCTTATTAAGTCCAATCCGACCGAAAAAAAAACGCCAGGGTTCTACATAGAGATGAAATCTTGAAATCTTAAAAAAAAATCCAAAACTCTTCATCAATTGTTATTGGAAATTATCGTACTTTTTAAATATAAAATAATATTCAGGGGTTACTTTTAAATTTTTTTAGTTATTGCGCAAAAAACTGTAAAAACACGTGCAAAAACCGTTTAAACGTCACATAAAATGTGCCCATAGGTTCATTGTCAGAGTGTTATTAGAATTATTTCAGCATCCCCGTGAAATTCTTAGATTTTCTGGGAATTATTGTCACAATTTTCTTGGAAATAATTTCTGGAGTTCTTTGGATCCCTTGTGATAATTTTCTAGGAATTGTGGTCAGAAATGCTTAAGAATTGTTATTTGAATTGTCTTCAGAGTTCCTTTAAAATCATACTCAGAATTTCGATTGGAATATTCCAGGGCTTCTCATTTAAATCCCAATGGAATTCCCTTCAGAATTATCATATACTATGTACATGTACTTATTAATGATACCCTGAAAATTCTCTGAAGAATTTACCTGATGTTCTTCTCACAAAGCTCATTGAATACTTTTTTAAATTACTTTGAAATTCTCAACCGTGGACTTTAAGAATACTTTCCAGAATTCCTTTAGGAGTTATCTGCAGAATGCCATTAGAATTGTACTCATTGATTAAATGTCAATGAAATTAATATCATGGAAAAGTTGCTAGGAAAATCTCTTTCAATTCACCTTTGCTTTGTTGCCTTTGGTCATTTTCGCCATCCCCTCACTACGTCCTTGCCCAATTCCAATCAAATCCAAGCTCTGGAATCAAAATTTCTGCTCTAGTTTTTGTTTAAATTTTTGATTCGTCCGTGAAAAATGTAATTGAGCCTATGTTTCAAAATTATTATTTTTTGATTTTTATCAAACCGGGAAAACTATCATGAACAACCAGGAAAATCCTTGAATTTAAATTCTCAAATCCAGTGTAAGGTGATATGATTTCATAGTATCGACATGTTTTTATCGAGGGGACTAGAACAATGATTATTTCCATCGTTTATTTTAGTGTAAATCGCGTCCATAAATAATGCTTTTAGCCCAAAAAATGTTCAAAACAATTACCCCCGGTAGAACATTTTGAAACTAACCTCAAATGAAAGAAGAACACCTATAATGGATGTTTCAGCGATACTGTTTTATTTTTATTTTTTAAAAGTTGTTCTGCCCGTGACACCGTGAGTGGCCATCCTGGTCTAATCCTGGCATTTGCACACCATATTTATATCAAAAGCACATGAAAGTGATTGACTTCATAATATGATTACGTTGTTATCTCAATCCAAATAGTGTATGGTTGAATTTTTTGAAACATTATCGTCAACTTTTTCTCCAAAAATGATTCTCTTCATTTAATTATCAAAACAGTCAAATTTCAGTTTGTTCCAATGGAATTACGTTGACATTTATGGATTCGTTTTGAAGGTTGTATGAAGCAGTTCCACGACAAATGACAAATCGATCAGACTCGACCTTCTTGTTTGTAATGGATAATCATACACATTTGTGATAAAATTCTGCCATTTTGTATCTTGTAATCTTAAAATTTTAAAATTAATTGTAACGCGAAAATATTACTTTTGATCATTAAAGTTGCAGAGCAAAATAAAGTCTTTCTTGGATAAATATATGGGGTTAATTTGTTTAGTAGTTTGGAGAAAAAATTTCAAACAATATTTAAAAACGATAATATAAAAAATATCCTAGTTTATAAATATTTTGTATAAAAAAGGAAAGCTTTTGAAATATTGGAAACGTTGAAAATTTACAAAAATCGTTAAACAACAACTTGTACGTTTTTAAATGTATATTTTACACAGGAATCAATATCTGAGACGTTTTAAAGCATTATCTGAGTGCAAAAATTCATATATAAGCATTGGTACACTTAAAGTTACAACAATTAAGCAAAAGTTGTTGGCCTACGATTTTTGTCAATTCTCAAGTCCAAGGCTTTCAATTTTTCATTTCCATTTCGCATACGCTTCTTAAAAAAAATAAAAATATAAATATAGGCGAGGATATTTGAAAATATTTAAACTTTTAACATTCTTTTAGAATTTTTTTCTCAAAACAAATTACCGTATATATTTTACATAAAAATACTTAATTATTCTCTACAATTTAGTCAGAGATGTCATTTCGATCAGAAGTGACGTTTTTGTACTACAATTAATTAAAAAATGTCAAGAACGCCATTAAAAAAAAATACAGCATCCAAAATGGCTGAAATTCAGCAAAAGCAGTGAATGATTTCCCATAACAAACAATCATGCAAAGGTTCTTGCAAATCGGTGAAGGGCGAGCCATACATTTTTTTTTGCAATTTGGCCTGGAGCTCCACTATGGTGAATATTTTTACCCTTCCTTCAAAGAAGGGTATTCATATATCGCTTGAAAACTCAACTATCGATCTGACGCGTGGAGAGCCGATTGTAATATAATTTGACTCAGCTCGACGAGATCGAAAAATGTCTGCATGTGAGCGAGTTTGTGTGTATGTTACAACATTTAATAGGCTTGTTTCTCGGCAACGACTGAACAAAATTGGACGCAACAACCATCGAATGAATGTTACCATGGTCCCATAGAACTCTATTGAATATTGTTGGGTTAGCTCCACTGGTTCCGGAGATATGACTGGAACATGTTCTGGTAAATACGGGTGGTGAGTCTATAATCGCTATGAGTCGTGTTAATCCTATCATGTGACTCCTCAAATCACATCAGAATTCCAAAAGTTTATCAATGGTGGTCATACTTAGAGTGTTGGACCAAATTGGACACATGCGGTCAAGTTATTGTGTACCTCAGTGGTTGGTTTCTGACTTGGACCATCATACGACACCTCCAATCACATGATAATCCAAAAACAAGTGCAATAGTGATTATATCAAGTATCCAGCATCACAGTAGACACATCTGAACATATTTATTAGGGGTACACAAGAAATCAATACGTATGAAGGGTCAGATCTCACCATAAGTGGGTTAATTCAGGTTTTACAATCAACTTTGGTCAACGGTATATCACTGATAACACCCCTAAGGGTAAACCCATACGATATATGTATATCTCATGCTAAAATTAACTACCTAACATATCGACGACATAACATTAATAGTTCGATTACTTCCATTAAAGTGTCAAAAGAAGCCCACCCCAACGATAGTATGCGATATATTCACTCTACTGATACAGTCACTCTTCGCCAAACTACTACAAACCATTTTACAAGACGCTTCACGAACTGCTTTTTCAATTACATAATGACTTTAATTCTGATCACGACTGTTTCAACTGCTGCTTTCAATTTGGTTCTTGCCATGTGATGTCGTTACAAGAAGCTCTGGTGGAAAAAGGAATATGTATCAACGTGCACCAGAAAAAAGGCCTGAGTATGTGTCTGAAATCCTCCATGCCGACAGCAACCTGGTGCTATCGGGTGTAATCAATACCATCTACGGTTTCTTGCTGTTGAAAACTAGTGGAAAGTCAAACACAAAAAGAACACAAAAACAAAATCATACACTTTTGAACACAACACAACACATCGATCGATTGAGTGTGGAAGGAGTTTTAGTATTCGGAAGGGAAGTCGAGAGACAGTTTGACAACGAACCAATGAAGTTACAAAATCACAAACGAAATAACATATACAACAAACAGTCATAATAGATGGATATATGAGTTATAGTAGTAGCGTTATATTGAACACATTGAACAGCATTCCAGTAAACAACTTGCTACACTTGATTTCCTACGGACAGACTGACTGTCGTCCTACGCATGGAATATGGCTCGTCATCTCGGACTTGATGGAAATGGATTCCAGGAACATATGGAAAGGATGGTTCGTGGGAGGAATATGTGTAGGATTCGGAAAACAGGATGTACGGAGGTTGTACGTGGTTCATATCGCCTGGCTATTTACATTTGTACTGAGAAGATAATCTTTAAGTTGAACATAAATTTAAATACTTTCAGGAAAGTTTGTTTGGCAGTTTCTGCCTTTCATAGAAGAGGGTCGGAGGGTGTTTTGTTAGAAAATTAAAGATGGGATAACAACAAGTATAACATAGACATATGACACAAAGAACGAAGTGAATAAAGGATACGCATATATGTTAACACCTTTGAATTCAGGGGAAGATGGGAAACAAAAAAGAACGACACCGGTAGAAGGAAGGTGGAAGATAGTATATTCTGTTCTTCGAGGGGAGCAGGATAAAGTTGAGATGTGAAGGTGTTTTTTACCGCAACATTTGCCACCTCGCTAGCGGGCGTTGGCAGCGCTCCCATTTCAACACTATCGTTCTCATAGCTGTAATGATTGAGGCCAGTGTCGTTCTCTTCGTCGTAACTAGAATCGTCATTACTGGAGGCGTATTTGGAGGTTTTGCAAAATTTGGACAACAGTTTGTTGTGTTTTCTGAGCGACGGAATGTCCAGATAGAGCAACTGTTTTTGGTGTTCCAGCTGACGCTCGAGATATTTGGTCATATTGTCGTCGCTCAGATAGTCGCTCGGATGCTGTGAATTGCTAGAGGCGGTTGATCTACTATTTCTAAGAGCAGATATGTGACATGATACAAGCAATATGGCGGCAGATCTAGCCGCACCTGTACGCGAGGTTGACACCAAGACACCTTTGGAACCGTGTAAGGGAGCACTTGACGGCCGTCGATTGCCATAGGAACCGATGGAGCCACTAGATCGTTGACTGGAACGCGATGACGGCCTTGCCGACTGTATTGTCAATGGAATCCCTGTGGTTGGTTTAGTGGTTCAATTGTGATGTTGTTTGTTAGTGTGTTATGACATGTTTTTTTTATTTATTACGTTGGTTGTTAGAGTGTGGTTTTTCGCAGATCCAAAGATAGAAGATAGAATAGGAAGAGACAAGCGTACGTACCGGATTAGAATCTAGGAATTATCTGGCAAGGCTTATAATTTATGAATAATTTTAGTAACTGTTTAAATGAACCATGCATTCTTAAGAGAGATTTGTCTTCACTGATACCTACGAAATAAGTACTAAAGTTTTAGCATTAGCGGTTGTACTGATAGTGTCAATTTTGACTTAATTACGAAGCCACTTAAGATGGAACAATGTTAATGTCGTGTATACCTTAAATTAATCCATCTAGCACTTAAGTGCACATATATTATTTTATTAAATTGGAAATGACCATCACGTGTCACACTCTCTATCCGCACAACCGCTTTTTTAGTCCTTTCGGAAGACAAATTCACTTCTTCTCTTTCGAGGGAAAACGGAAAACATGACAGAAAAAAAACGAAATCCCGACATAAGAAATAAGGAAACCTCTGCCAACTGAATCATCACGGTAGCGCACCTGTATCACTGTTGTACAAAATCGGCGGCGCAAGGTTAGCATCGCCGAAATGTCGAGGTCGAGGGTATTTCGTTTTGCTAAATAAATGCAGTACCATGCAAATGAGACCGGCTAGCACGGCAATGCCACTGGTGACACCGAAGAGTGTCGGAAGATCCGCAGTTATTGTAGCCATATCTGAAAAAAAAAAAAAAATGGAGAAAGAGGAAATGAGCGTGTGCGGTAAAAGGAAATCCGGTGAGACCTAAAATGGGATGCAATCGGAATAATATAATGGGCAACGGTGGGCGTCGGCTTGTGGGCAATGCAAATTGAGTTGTTTGGCAAGACTGGATTAAAACGAGATTCAGTTTACACTTGTTTATGACATTTGAGATGTTATTTAGTGGCGTGCTAAGAATTATGGGATTAAGGCCGGAGTTAAGTTGCATTCTTTCTGTTAAGTTTAAATTGGAGAGGATTTCCAAAAATCAAGAAAACTTTTATCGAATTAAAATTATATCTCATTAGAGTTTTTTTTATATTAGATTATACTAGAAGTAAAATTTCACGGAATTAAAAAAACCAACAGTTTTATGCAGATTTTATTTAACCTACAGAAAATCAGCTCAATTGGTTGGATGACAGCTGAGAAATTTCGGTGGGTTGACGGCACCACCCACTGCAACATTCGAAGGATTCCTGTATTGTATGGCAAGCCAGTTTCCCAGGTAAGTCGAGGCTTGGTGTCTGAAATGAGCCGAGCCTAACATTTTTCTGAGGAGTAGAATTCCTACTCACAAACCAATCCACCGAGCATCATAGCTTGAGGGTGAAGTGGGATAAAACGGGGGTTAACTTTGCTAAACGCTCTACGCTAGGGTAAACGCTCCTATAGCTGTGGTACGTTAGAAGCGTTTGATTCTTAAAGTTGCTTATGGAGTCTCCTTAATTAACAATAGAAACAAAACGATTCTAACGTACCACAACTTTAGCAGCGTTTTTAATTTTCACACGCTCTTACTCTCATTCTGGGTAAACTCTGAGCTTCTTGTCACAAAAAAAAAAGTCATCTAGAGCAGGGTTGCTTCCTCTCACTTGCTAAAAAAAAATTTGTTCGTAATTGTAAAATCGTTAGATGATATAATGATATTGTACGTTCAAGTAACAAGAAGAGAGTGGAAAGTGTGTGTTTGACTCATAAAACCTGTCAATTTTGCTTTAAGAGCGTCACAATCAGCGATCTTATGATTCGTATAATCGTTGATTGTGACGCACTGAAAGCAATATTGACAGGTATTTTGTGTCAAAAACATAATACCCGACCTCTTTTTGTAACTCCACTGTGAGTGGAAGCAACTCTGATAGGGAACCTCTAAAAATAAATTTCTGCCGCCACTCATTCGAGGCGAGGGCTGTCTAAACTCGCAATGCAAGAGTATTTTCCAGTGAATTTAATCAAGTCTGGCTAAAACATGTTCTAGACCGGACCGGGAATCGAACCCGAAGTGGCTCCGGTTTGGAATGCCATACGTTTACTGATTAGGTTATTTGAGGCTACATCATCCATCGAAAAATAATATTGAAAGACGCCAGTAAACTTCAATTTTTTTTTATTACGCTCGAGTTGGCTTTTATGCGGTCGCTTTTTACCTGGTACATTTTAATCGATTTCTCGAAAACAATACAACTTAAGGACATAATTTCAATCACACTATTTGTTTTGGGCCAAAATAATATAGAGTTCGTTAAAAAAAATTAATTTTTTTATGTAAATCCATTAATAAAAAAAACTGTGTAGATTGACCATAGCATACTTAAATTACATGAGCTAATCTATGCATTTAAAATGTTTAGCTTGTGAATTTATCATTCTCGTTTGATATGCGATAGCTGATAGCTTTTATGCGGTTTTTTACGCGGTATATGTCATCCGCGTAAAAATCTACTCGACTGTATCGTGTTGATATGTTATTTAGTTTCTTATGAACGAATAAGAATAGTAACTTTAGTTTGTTTTCAATAATTTAGGCCGATGCAAATATTATTTTCATTTTACGTCCGATATCACTTAAATAGGTCGAGGGGTGGCAACAAATAAATTATAAGGGATATGTAATTTGACGGAGAATTTATCCAGACATTATTTGGTGTACAAAACAAATAGTGAAAATAATTAAAAAAACAATCATGAAATTTATCGACCCAACCTAACGTTTCACGAACTAATCAGAAGAGCGGACGGTTGGGAAAAATGTATATTCTCTTACACGGACATCACTTTTCAGCTCATGTGTAAATTTGCCATGGCAAGACGGTCGATCTGATCGGAGCTTGGTGATAACCAGGCTTGCTGAAACTCCTCAAACTCACTGGAGGTTTTAAAACACTCTTGTCCTACGAGTTTAGGCAGCCCTCACCTCGAGTGAGTGGCGGCAGGAATATGGAAGAACTAAACAAAAACTCCTCGAGAGAGAGAGAGAGAGAGTGAACTTCAGCGAGAGGATGATTGGACGTGACTTTTTTGTTTGACGCAAGAAGCTCAGAGTTCACCCAGAGTGAGAGTAAGAGCGTGTGATAGAAAACATGAACATGAATGGCAGCAAACCTCACTCTCATTTTATCCCCCTTCGCACACAAGCTCTGAAGATCAGCGGGATGATTTGGCATTAGGCATTCTACTCCTCAGAAAAATGATACGCTCGGCTCATTTCAAACTCGCGAGCGAGGCTCCTTCAAGCCTGGTGATAACGCCAGAATAGAAGAAGTGGAAGAGCAGTGGATATGTTCGTCCGCAAAGGGTTTGTCAAATTACTTCCACCATTAGAGAGAGAGAGAGAGAGGAAAAGTAACGGAAATCTTCATTCATACACACCGTCTGCCAATTCACAATTTGTAAAAGAAGCCTGGAAATAAGCTCCGTTACTCTCAGGTCATGCGATGTTTGTGGGCAAAAGCAACACAGGGAGGAGGAAGGTGGAAAATCTCGTGGAAGCAAATTTAAAGGGACAATACTCAACTAGTGCTTTGGTTTTAATGTAGAAACCTATCTGATTGATCTTACTATCACCTCTAAATTTCAAGAGCACAAAACATACAACAATGAAACAGAAACTTCGCATTACAGCCATCATGACGGCCATTTGTGGGCTCTTCAAGGAGTCACCTTAAATTGCAATACATTGGAAACGAGACCCATTCTAGTAAGAAGGCACGATATAAAGGGACAAAACTATAAAAATGGCCGCCGTGCAACGTGATAAACCTGAGCCTTCCACCAGCCATGGCCAGGAACGATAATTTTCGGCTGATGCAGTGCGTAAGACGAAAGGGAAAGCTAATTTTCACAATAGTAATTATTGCAACTCACTTGATCTCGTGTTTTAGAGTGAACACAAGGACCTTTCATAAAACATTTTTTTTTAATTATCCCGAGCCTCTGACAAGATAAATACATTCTTAAAAGTACGTGTTTCTGAAAGTTGCCAAGTAAGCCAGCTTTAAAAATTGGGCGAGACTTGATTTCCCTCTTATGATCTGAATTTTAAAACTAATTTTACAATAATCCCGAGACCTAATTTGTGAAAATTCTTGGAAATCATCTATCTTTCATCAAAGTTGTTTTTACACTTTAATCTCAGGATTAAGTGGGTCTAAAACTTGGGAGATCAAGTCTCCTTCAACTTCAAACCAAACACAATAACTGAGCAAAAGAAACAGCACCAGATTATTAATTATATTGTTTTCACTTATTCAAAGATTTCAGCTGTAAAAAAAAGACACGTTTTGGTGGAATATCCAAATAGATTTCAATTTCTAGCTGGCTAATAAAATACGAAAGATTGTAGCAACTTGCAGGAGGCTCCAAGCTAAACACACTATAAATTGTATTACTGTTATAGTTTCACTATAAAGGACCTAAATGTTGGGAAATGCACAACTGACCGTTTGGATTACCTATACTGAGAAAGCCATAATACGAAATGTTGATCTCGTCATAAAAAATGTTCTCGTTAGGATTAAGAAAATGAAGCGAGGGCGATTTCCATTTTCACGTCCATATTCACACCTCGTACTCCGGTGTGCATTGCGAGACCCAGCTCCCCAGGGAATTTCTCCCGGATGGCACACCTGACTTTTCCATACTTTCTCAACACCGTGCCAAACCGTATACTCACACGTAATAAATGTTGCCATCCGCATATGGCATACGAACCTTCACTGCCTTTCCATCCGCATAATGGAATTCGTTACTTTTGCTTCGTAAGGCATATAGAATAGAATCCTTCGACTTTAACTTAATGAAAACCGCTTTCTCCTCCGATATCCAATATGTTGCTTCCATCTCAGCAGCATTCGCATCCAGTGTCTCTACGAAATTGGAAATCATGACAGTTTTTAATCTGAACACTTTTTAAAATGCAAATCTATAGGCCAAGAAAGAAAAAAATTGCTCAATCATCATTCAGTACAACAGAGTACCCTTTCGAGGTGGAAAAGTGATATGGATGAAGAAAATCGGTGACACATATTTTTTTTTGTCGTAGTTACTTTTCACTCTTGTCGTGACTTGTTCGAGGATGAGATAAGAACTTGTGACTTTAGTGTGCGAAGTATAGATGCTAACCACTACGCCGGATCCGTCCCCCTATTATTCCTAATGTTTCGTCGAGAACATGGCTTAAAGGCTTGGCCGAAAGTCGTAGCTTCATTCATTCATTCGTGATGAGTATGTTTAACCACTACGTACCCGCTAGATGTAAATTAGCGAGCGTCAACTTAACAACCACCTAGGGACACTGCTCGTATGATCTGTATTGATGTCCCTAACAACTGGGCCAAATTAGAACGAATTTGGTTACGAGTTGGATGTACGGGAGAATTTTAAAGTATGTATGGGAAACGGAACACAGTACACAGCAAAAAATTAATTTTGATATCACATCAAAATGAAAACACTTCAATCGTGTCGAAAATATGGTGTAATATTACTTGCCAAAAAAGACAAAATTATCATTAATACAGTGCATGGACTGACATTACGCTGTTTTTTCCAAAATCGCAAATTGATTCTTCTTTTGTGCCAAAAGTTTTTTTGTTTATTAGTTTATTTTATAAGGCTCAATCGAATTAACTTTACAGAGCCGAGCATTCTTGTTCACTATACAAAACATCTTAAAACTATAGTCAAAAGGTAAAACACAATAAACAATTTATCTTCCGCTATCCTGAAAGCCTCTTCCATTAAAACGGGAGCCGCTTCCAGTGGATTCATTGTAAGGCAGTATCGCCAACGGGGGGAAGAGCGCTTCCATTGCAACAATGGACGCAAAACGTGGTCAGCACTCACACACTCATCATGAAACGGTTGCTTGTAGGTAACAGCGGAACACTTGGACTAAAGTATGAAAATAATAACTTTATACGCAGAAGTCGAATCAATGCTATGCGATCTTCGTCAAAAATAATCTATAATTTTATAATTTTCCTAATGTAAGTCGCAGGGTTGCTCAAAATTGAGCAATTTTTGAATTTTTGATTAGCTAATGAACAGGTTTGTTCCGTTTTCCATACATACTTTGAAATTCTTCCGCAAATTCATATTTTCAGCAAATTCATTCAAATTTGGCACAGTTTTAGAGGACCTCAACAAAGATTGAAAAGTTAGTGGGGTGCAGGGGAGGGAGTTGTGATCCGCCATACAAACTATACCCAACTTAATGTGCATCTCCATAGAATAAACCTCGTGGACAGCAATATATATTGATATTGCAAAAGCTACAATGACATGGATCACGAGGTTTGGCAATGTGTGGATTATGACGCTGTCAGAGAGCGCCTTTTGAATATCTGCGAAAGCCAATCATATATTATATTTTCACATTATATCGACTATACTTATTTTAAATCCAAAATATCCATTTCTCTTGATCACTTCTGAACTTCTTTTTCATTATAATCATTATCACAAGCCGTTTCCATATCACTGTCATCGTCAGTTTTAGATTAACTAGGAACACTATCGTTTGCGAGGTGGAGACTGCAATGTTTGGCCCACACAGCTTCTCCGAGAAAGAAGAGAACGTCTCCGAGAATGAAGAAATCTCAGCATCTGACATGTTTTCTGAGAGATCATGTATTTTCACTTCGATTCTTTCAATGTCCATCCCCAGACGTACTTACTACCGCTAACTGCCAACTTCGAGCTCGTGGCGATTATGGTGCTGCTCTACAACGTTTTGAGCCGTTTGTAGATCGACACCTTTGACATGGACACAGCACTGGACAAGGTTCACTTGGTGGTGTTTAACTTGCTGCATTTGCAATCCAATAGATTGGCAGAGGAAGTTGTGTAGATCGTTCTAACTTGGGTATTTCTCAATGTTTGTGAGATCTAGTTTAAAGACACGAAAGGTGACTACTACCATCACAATGCTACAATTGCAGAAACTGAATTCTCATATCAGAGATGCTGCGATAAGAAAGTGACAAACTAACAATTCGGACCTCAATGTGAGCGCCTGTGAACAAAATGAGAGCTTCAACACAAGTGAGACAACCTTATGTTCTTATCAGAGACGGGAACTAGAAATCTGCTATATGCAGTCGATTTATGTGTTTTTTTTCTCAATGTCTAGTATATAATTTAAATTCCTTTGTATGTTTGTTTTTTATTTATTCATTAGTTTGTGTTTGTTCTGTCCCCTCGTCTCAATTAAGCTGGGTTTAGACAGGGCAAGTCAATTGATCAAGTCAGTTGAATTCAACTGACTTGAACGCGAATTGAACGTGTAAACCATGCCATTCAACTGACTTGATCAACTCACTTGAATTGAAAAAAAGTTGAACCAGGCTCAACTTTTCAAGCCAATTGAATTCAACTGAGTTGTTTCAAATATGAATGATCGGATCCATAAAATTAACGTAATTGATCTTTTAAAATAAACAAACTAGATAAAAAAAAACATTATTCAGTACATGGAATGGAGAAAATTGAAGTGGAACATTGTAAAACGGAACGCAAAATCAAAATAAATCAGCAAATAAAGTTCTAAACCATGATTTTATGATGCTCATAGAGTCACTAAAAGTTCCAATTAAAAATTAACACATGAAGGGTTGTTCAGATTAGTGGGTTCTATCGCATTCTCTTTGTGCTGCTAGCTACTTTAGATCCCTGATGTACCCGAAATGGTGAGAAATAATCTAATCTTAACGCTTAATGAAGCATAAATAAACCAAATTTTAAACACTCCATTGTATATTGTAACATTCCGTTCACCGTCAATTGGCACACATGTTCAAGTTTTCGAGTATATCAACGTGCGTATCAACTGAATCCTAACCGGTCAACTGTAAACGATACATATAGAGCCACATTATAAATTTGGGTCATCGAAGGTTAGCTATTGGATAGATGGCTCATCGGATAAAAATCCTATTATTGAATGTACATTAGCATATACCATGTACCTACACACAGAGAACTTACCTTGTGTGCAGAAGACACGTCTGGTTGGTTTTACGTAGCTAACGGAGTGGAAACCGGGTGCACACTGGCAGATGGCGTTGTGACTGATCTGCACGCATTGGGCGTGCTCGTCGTTGTAGATACAGGTTTGATCGTAGAAACATTGTTCCCCTAACTTTTTGGCTGTTTTGTTGTTGTAGATGTAGATGTAGATGAAAGATCCGGTAGTTCATCGGTGGTTGGGTCGTAACATGAAAGGGGAAAAGAAATCATTTTATTAGAAAGTGTATATAAATTGAAAATCAAGCAGAAATGGAACAGTTATGCTTTTATGGGCTGTACTGTAGGTGTTATTTTTAAAATCATCCTGGAAGCGATTTGTTTGTGTGCGGTACGAAGTAAGGGTTCTATCCTTGATTGATAAGAACTGTTTTGCTTAAATGGAAACTGATATTAGTATTTAATTTATGTTTTGAAAATTCTTGAAATTTAACAAAATATACAATTTTAAATAGGTAAGTTGAAGTTTATGCAGGAATTAAAACGAGAAAAAAGTCCTGTTCAATAACCGTTTACCGGGCTATCTACACTCAAAAGATTTTCAAATATAAATAGATTAAATTTACGCTAAATCGCAACTCTCCTGACCGACGCATAGCTTGGTATAAAGTGAAAGAATACGAACTTAGTATAAAAATGGTTAATACATAGATAGAATAAAGTGAATGAATTTATTCGATGCATAACCACTATTCTATTAGTATTTAGAGTATGCTTTTTCTGTCAGTTTCGTGTGCTATTGTTTTTTAATGCAAATCAAAAATGGTGCAAAAAATAACAAAAATATTTTATTTTCTTGTTACTAGGTACCTAGCAACATAGAAATAAATAAGGATATTTATTTCTAAATTGTTCTGATCCTTGCGTCGAACAAAACCGCTCGAGTTCAAATCCGCTTCACTACCGGACATGGTATCGAGTTGATCAAGTTCAGCCGCATTGCACATCGAATCACTAGCCAGCACTAATTAGCCCGGTGCTCCTAGCACAGCTCCTAGAACGGGGGCTTGTTGAACAAGGCCGTTGAAATGACCAACAGACACGCGTCTTATCGATTCCCTCGCAAATGAAGTCAGCCGGTAAGCTGTTGCTTAGGGAATCCGCAGTATTCTCAGACGGATAGTGATTCTGTGTGAAGGGCATCGAATCGGACTCGAACCAGCAATCACTGCGGAGAATTTCCCAGAAAAGTCGACGGGATTTCAAAAAGGTCGATGGCCCTATGGAGAACGCTCATTCGCACACAAGAGTACTTATCCAGCTCTTCAATGCTTCCAATGCATGCAACTGGCTGGCCAGTGGAAGAAATCCACGGTGATGCCAGCGTTCTTGAGTATTTAATTAAGAACCTTGCCAAGAACTAAAAAACTGAATTGTAGTCTTAAACACTAACCGAACAAATGCGAGCGTCATCCTGTCAACGTTGCAATTTAATAAACATTGGACGAATTCCTCGCAATTATTCGAACTTAGTATAATTATGGGATCAAATTTTTAGCTTAACCATAACATATTTAAATTTTAATCTTTCCTCGTTTAGTTATACTATTGAGTGTACATTTAATGGAAATTTTCATAGCAACATCTTTACAAAGACCATTTTTCATTAAACACCTAAAGATCATTAGCTATTAATTAATTGAGAAGCTGGGAATCTTCCGCCAAATTGTAGCTGAGAAAATTATGTGATAGCATGCTTACCCGTAAAGCGTTACGACAAAAGCTGGATGAGGAGTGAACATTTGTATTTCGTTCGATTGAACTTGAATATCATGTGAATAATTTCAATATTATTAGTGATTGTGACATAATCTATGTTACCATCAAGTTAGATTGACGGCACTGTAAAACGGGGTAAAAGTTGATCATTGAGGTGAAGTTGATAACTACACCGTTCAATTTTCGTTTCTCAAAAATCGTGTTGCATGATATTGTTATAAGCTTTGTTCAGTATTTAATCTTCTTATTTCATGATATTGCAATCTTTCTTTCGCAATCAATGAAATAATTCGAATTGACTTAGTCAAAATAACAACCTAATGACAACAAACGTCCTAGCTCTATATACTTTTGTTTGAATAATGATATTGTCAGTTAAATACAATTGAAATGTAAGCAGCAAAGTACACTTTTTCGATTATAACAACTCATCAAAACAATGATTATAGTCCTCTGATAAAATCCTATACATCCCCGTTTTGTTGTCTGGTCATGGAATAGTAAAAAATAAATTCAATCAGTGGTATTTCTATCGCATCGTCCGAAAATGCATCAAGGCAACTTCTATTACAAAGTATCTAGAGCAGCGCATAGTTTGATCGTCATGACGCGTCAGTGGCGTAATACGGTATGAATTCACTCAGTCACAGATCTTCTGGGCCATCGGTTTCACGATGGGGGAAAATACTTCGAGAAAGAAACGGGTAAGCCCTAACAACTCTAACAACTATATTCATAGGAAAATTAGAAAAGCATTTGCTAGTACAGGTTAGAAGTCTATTTGGCAGCAGCATGCGTAGGTAAGCCGCCGTGGGGCCACCCTTAGCTCAGTCGGTAAAGGCGCAGCTACAAAGCAAAACCATGCTGTAGGTGGCTGGGTTCAATTCCCGGTCCGGTCTAGGAACTTTCCGGGTTGGAAAATTTCTCGACTTCCCTGGGCATAATAGAAGTATGATTGAACTTGCCACACAATGCAAAAATGGTACAGGCATCGAAAGCTCTCAATTAATAACTGTGGAAGTGCATCTAGAACACTAAGTTGAGAGCACGCAATAAGCTAATATGCGATATGCAATAAGCTTGAAATGCGAAGAAGAAGAAGAAGAATGTGTGGGTAAGCTACCAGTTACGGCAAATCGGCGACCAAATGCATCGTTTACAAAAGCAGATACGTCCCTTCGAAAAAGTAATCGAAAATTCCTGCATTGTTTGGCATAGAAAGCTCACAATTAATAACTGTGGAAGTGCTTCAATGAACACATAGTTGAGAGCAGGCGCTAGCTCGTGTAAGAGAGTCAAAGTCAGGTAGAAGAGCGATGTTATTACCACTGAATAGGTGAACAAAACTAGATAACATGTTTTAGCTCGAGAGTACCAGTCCGCATCGTGCTCTCTTGCCGTGCGGATCTATTTGCTTTTTGCTGAAGGAAGTGTTACTACTACCTAAAGCTACAACAAATTTAAACAGCACTTTTCAGTGCTCAACCTGTAAAATTTCTTTAAATTATCTTTATTCAACTTTATTCCTCTTCGATCCTTGTTTGGACCCTACCCGAGGTAATCCTTCTTGGATATCGATTTGGAAAATTCCTCTTCGATCCTTCAGATTCTTATAGTAATCTGCTTGGAAGTCGATTTGGATAAAAAATTTACTGCCGCCATGGCGCCTAAACGCAAAAGAAAGGGGCAAACTCTTGACCCCCCTTCTGAAGAAATTAATTTGAGTAATCAATTTGATTTGCTCACGGATGACGAGAATGATCCATCATCCAAGAAAAATTCTAGTAAACTTTCCCGGCTTAATGCCAAGAAGGAAAAGATTCCCCCTATTGTGATAACCACTTCCGATTTGCATGCTCTTCGCATGGAACTTTTGAATTTCGTGAAAGTTAAGTTTTCACTACAAATTGGACGTCGGGGTGAATGCCGTGTATTGGCTGAAACCTTGGACGGATTTAAATGTCTTCTCAAGTATCTTACTGAGAAGAAGCATAAATGTTTTACTTACGACACCAAAACTGAACGTGTGTTCAAGGTTGTCATGAAAGGACTGCCCAGTGGTGAATCCCTGGATCAGATCAAAGATGAACTGGCAAAATTACTTGGAGTTCAAAATGAAAATGAAATCCCGTCCTGGCGATTCGCGCAACGGGATTTCTAATGATTTTTATTTAGTTCACTTCAAGTCTAGTGAACTAAACAACCTTAAGGCCTTAGAAAAAGCTAGCCTTATGCTCCATGTCCGAGTGAAGTGGGAACACTTCAGGAAGACTGGAGGAAATTTCCAAAACCTCACTCAGTGCCGTAAGTGCCAGGGATGGGGTCACGGAACTAAAAATTGCTACATGCCAGCTAAATGCATGAATTGTGGTGATTCCTCTCACGCAAAGGACGACTGTCCTGTGAAGGAAGATCCTAAGAAATTTAAATGTTCAAATTGTGGTGAAAACCACAAATCCAATTTTTGGGAATGTAAGACTCGCAAAGCGATCCTACAATCTCGTTCTAACCGACAGGTAGGAAACGCTTCACGTTTCCGACCAGGTACAAATTCCTCTGCTGTTAACAACGGTCAGCGAGGAACAAATTCTACATTCGTACCCATAGGTACAAATATCACCCCTGCTTCAAATTTTTCATCTGTACCTACTCCCCTCGCTGTTAACAATGTTCAGCGAGTTAATGGAGCTACCTATGCTGCTATTGCAGCGGGTAGAAATCAAAATACTAACCAAAGTAATTCTAACGGAAATTTTGACAATTTTGACTTAGGAAGCATTACTGCCCCCAAAATGGAATTTTTACAGAAATCATTAATTGACATGATTTCTGATATGCTTAAATCTAACTCCATGTTTGATGCTATTCAAACTGGAGTAAAATTTGCAAATAATATTGTCATGACTTTAAAATTCAGTAATGGATTTTAAAGCATTAAATATTGTAAATTGGAATGCTCGATCTCTTAAAGATAATGAAGACGAGCTATTTAACTTTTTGCGAGTTCATAACGTGCATATTGCCGTTATAACTGAAACGTTCCTTAAACCTGACCATAAGGTTAAGAAGGACGCAAATTACTTGATTTATAGAAATGATCGTCTTGATGGACCCTGTGGTGGGGTTGCCATCATTATTCATAGACGAATCAAACATAAAATTCTTTCTTCATTTGAAAAATTTGGACAACTTACGTTTATAGCTGCCTATTTGCCATTCCAATGCGTAGGCCAGAAAAAGAATTTTCTCAAGGGTGACCTCCAGAAACTTACCCGTCATAGGTCTAAATTCTTCATTATTGGTGATTTTAATTCAAAACACCGCTCATGGAATAATGCTCAAAGCAATTCCAATGGTAATATTCTGTTTGATGATTGTTCTGCAGGTTATTACACTATTCAATA